CCTGGGTGCGGACATGGCACTGCTCATCAGGCCATGCTGAGGCAGCGTCCCACATGCCACAGCTAGAAGGACCCACAACTCAGAACATAGAACTATGTACTGGGGGGTTTTGGGGAGAAAAGGAAAAAAATAAAATAAAATAAATAAAAAAAAATCTTTGGAAAAAACCCCACAAAACTATAGTAGTTGCCTGCCTTATTCCAACCCATCCCTAAGGTTTGCTCTCTGCCTGTAAGTCTTTTGGTTATTTCTTTGTCGTTTGCTTCATTCTTCTAAGATACAGATTTCTGGGCCCCACCCCAGAGTTTCTGACTCAGTGGATCTAGAGTGGGGCTCAAGAATTTGCATTTCTAATAAGTTTCCAGATGATACTTATATTGCTGGTTTGGGGACCACGCATTGTGAACCACCGCTTAGTCTACAGATCTCATTGAATCTGAGATCTCAGGGGGGTTGATTCAATAGCTGAGACCAAGTAATGAGTAGATCAGTCATTGAGGGGCTTAGTATTAAGTATAGGATAAACTCCAAACTCTATGGAATTCCCCATGTAGCTCCATCCACCTTTCCATTTCTCACCTCACTGTAACACTGCTTGTACATTTTAGCCTTACTGAACTTATAGTAATTTAAAAAATGTGTAGTGGCTTTCAACTCTTCTCTCTTCTTAAATTCCTGCCCCTGTTTGACTGCCTGGAGGTACCTTCGTTCTCTTGTTGCTTTTCCACTGCTGCAGAGTTAGGTGTTTCTACCTCCCCTGTGCTCTTAAAACAATCTATATATGTTTCTGTCAGAGTGAAGATCACACTGTATTTTACTTGTCTACTTGACTGTCTTTCTTTTTCTGTTACTTTGTCCCAAAGTCCTTGGGAAAGAGGACTCGGTTTTTTGAATTTTTATTTTCACTGGGGTTGGTGTAGTTATTGGCGTATAAAAATGAGCTAAAATAAATGTTTGACTAAATTAAGACAGAAGAAATTGAATGATTTGGAGGCCCAAAAGTAGTGACTGCTTATAGTAGTTTTGTTGTGCTTAATTTCAAGGAGCAAATTTACATAAGCATCGGCATATACACCTTTAACACATACGATGCTTCTGGATTTGTTAGGTTTTGGTACTATCCAGATATGGATATTGAGTCTTAGCTGTCTTGGGCCACTTTCAGTTAACAATAGCTGAGCTAGTTTAGGGTAGCGGGAGCCCATGGATTCCTTCAACCAGTTCCAGTCACCCAGCTCCAAAATGATGAGCATTTTGGTCATTTTCACCTCTCGTGTCTATCTTTCAGAATCTGGCTTATCTTTCCAGGGCCAGCTGAAATGCTACCCTTGCAACAAGCCTTCCTTATTACCCCTGGATAGATCTTTCTCTTCTCTGAAAACGTTATACTGCTTATTGCCTGGTGCATGCTGTTTCATTTGTACTTATTTGCATTAACACTTTATCTTCCCTTCTAGATTGCTAACTCCTTGAGGATGGTGAAGTTTGCAACCAAGCTTGGGAAGGGATTCTAAAACTATGTCACAGTGGTTGGACCTTTACCAGTAGGTAGATAAGGGTCATTGGAGCTTATGTTCAAAAGAAGAAAAAGAGAAAAATAAGGGACTTATTTTACCTGTGTTTTAGCAATATAATCAGTAGTAATGCGGAGAGGTTGGATGGAAGGCATAGAGAAGAAAAAAACTGCTCTCTGGTTCAGATAAAAGATGATATTAACAGAAAGGGAGCTCGAGGGGAAGGAACAGACATTTTAGAAGTTTAGTTTTCTTCCTTGGTGACAGATTAGGTGGGCATAATAGAGAACAGTGATACTAAGGACATTGATTACAATGCTTTTGGTCTCAATAAGAGAAAAGCTTGCACTAACTTAAGCAGTAAAGGAGATTTATTGACTTAAGTAACAGGAAAGTTTAGTCAGTGCACTTAAACGGTCTCTCTGCGATTCTGTTAGCACTACCATCCTCAGCTACAAGATTCTACATGTACAAACTGTATTTATCCAGAGGAAGAAATTGTACCTGGGTCCAGAGTTGCAGCCCAATGTGGAGCTTTAGGCTGACTAGACTAATCTCTCTGGCCAGAGCAATGACACACTCTGGCTGTTGTTAATTCCGAAACAACTGGTTACTTGAACAAAATGCTGTGGAGCTGGAGGTCCAGTATTCTCAAGCCACATAGCTGTTACATAACGGGGGAGGGATTGTTGGGAGAGATAACTACAATATCCTCGATAGTAGAAGACGATGACGTTGACTGAATAGGAAATAGGAAGAGGTATAGGTTTGAGGGAGAAAATATTAATGAGTTTGATTTCGTAGGGGTCAGGAAAGATATCAAGCAAGAGGAGCATTTCTGGATGAGGGAGCAGCTTCATGAAGGCCTTTCAAGAAGGAAACAACTGGGCTTGTTCTATGAACTGAGAGAAGGCCATAGGGACTGGCTTCTAATGGGGGAAGATTGGATAAGATGAGATTGGAGAGGAAGGCTTATGTCTTTTGGGTCATGGTAAGGAGTTTGGATTCTAAATGCAATGGGAAATCATGGAAAGGTTTTGAGCAGTCAAGAGACATGATCTAGTACACATTTGAAAAGATAATTCTTGTTGCTTTATGGAGATTGGAATAGATGGGATGGGAGTGTATGCAAGGAGAACAGTTAAAGGCTACTGCAGTGGTGCAGTCTTGAACTAGGCTGTGGTGTGGGGAAGAAGAAATGAAGAGCAGTAGTAGACTAAAATATTTTGCAATTGGAGTTGACTGGTTCTTATGATGGAGTGGATTTAAGAATTGGAGGAGACAAAATAGTTGAAGATTCTTAGTTTTCTGGCTTGAACTGTTGTTTGAATGGACATAATAAGGGTCAAACTGGAGGAGGAATAAGTTTGAGAGGAAGATCAATTTTGCAAATGCAAGGTTTGAGATGCCCTTTACATGTCCAAAACTGTATGTCAGATAGTTGGCTAAATGAGTCTGGAACTCACGTGGAAGAGAGCTAGGGCTGGAGATGTAAAGTTGGCATCCTCACCAGAGAGTTGGTATTAAACCATCATAATGGGTGATAAAATGTGGGCCTCATGAGTTATTTCTCATGCCCAGAGAACTGAGAGTATCCTCCATAGTCTCTGGAGTGCAGCCATTTATTTCATTTGTAGTTTTGAAATTCAGTCTATTATATACATTGACTTGATCTTGTTAATCAGTTGATTATGATAACTTAATAATTTTTCTGTTTTTTTCTTCCATTTTTGGCAGATCTTGGACATCAAGATTAAAATAATAGTAAAACCTTCTGCCTTTTGTGCTTTACTTTGAAAAATCTGCTTAGGCTTTTGAGAATATCTACTGAAATTGCATTTCATTCTTTCTCTTCTCCAGGCTGACCTCTGTAAACTTTTCTGCTTACATGTAAATTTTACGGAAACCATAAATAGACTTGTTTGTTTGTTTGTTTGTTTGTTTTGAGGAAGATTAGCTAGCCCTGAGCTAACATCTGCCTCCAGTCCTTCTCTTTTTGCTGAGGAAGACTGGCCTTGAGCTAACATCCGTGCCCATCTTCCTCTACATCTGGGACGCCTACCACAGCATGGCTTTTTAAGCGGTGCCATGTCCGCACCCAGGATCTGAACCGGTGAACCCCGGGCTGCCAAAGCGGAACCTGCACACTTAACTGCTGCGCCACCGGGCCAGCCCCAGACTTGTTTTTTGTAAAGGAATCATTTTTAATTTGTAGTACATGTGTATGATACAAAATTCAAAAGATATAGAAGAGTCTTCCTATCCTAATTCTCAGCCAACCAGTTACCTTTCCTGAAAGTAAGCCATGTTCTCAGTTCTTGTGAATCATTCCCTATCAGTTCATATAAGTAGTTACATGGTATTCTACTTCATGAGTACATCATACTTTATTTACCAGTCCCCCTTGCAGACATAGGTTTTTGCTGACTTTTGCTATGCTGGAAATAGTTCTTCCAAAAAAAATCACTATAAATAATGTAATTTTCTGGAGGTATGAATATATCAGAATGAATTCCTAAAGTGGAATTGCTGGGTCCAAGAGTTTAAGCATTGTAAATTTTTATAGATGCTGCCAAATTGCTTTTCCTCCAGAGGTTATGCCGTTGTATTCTCTCACTAGCGGTGACTGAAGGTGTCTTTTTGAGCCAGCCCTGATGGCTTAGCAGTTAAAGTTCCGTGCACTCTGCTTCCATGGCCCAGTTTGGATTCCCTGGTGCAGAACCACACCACTTGTCTGTCAGTAGCCATGCTGTAACGGCTACTCACATAGAAGAACCAGAAGAATTTACAACTATACACAAGTATGTACTGGGGCTTTGGCGGGGGGAAAAGGAAGAAAAAGGAGGAAGATTGGCAACAGATATTAGCTTAGGGCGAATCTTCCCCTACAAAAAAAATAAATAAATAAAAAAGAAAGTGCTTTTTCCCATCACTCATGTCAACACAGTGAGTTGCTAACCCCTTGATCTTTGCTGCCAATCTGACAGATGAAAAGTCTATCTCATTGAGTCCTGTAGAATTTGAATGATATAGAGCGATTTCAGTTGGATTTTACTGATTTAGTGAAATGACTATTTTATGATTGTCAATGCATATATGTATTTTATATAGTTTTCTTTTCCTCTTTTAAACCACAGGGGGCCGGCCCCTGGCCAAGTGGTTAAGTTCGCCTGCTCTGCTTCAGCAGCCCAGGGTTTCGCTGGTTTGGATCCTGGGCGTGGACATGGCAGCACTCATCAAGCCATGCTGAGGTGGCATCCCACATGCCACAGCTAGAAGGACCCACAACTAAAAATACACAACTATGTACTGGGGGGCTCTGGGGAGAAAAAGGAAAAATAAAATCTTAAAAAAAAAAAACAACAAAACCACACCAAGTAGTTTCTAAAAGACTGGAGAACATTATTTGATGCTATATCTTAAACCATATATTATAATATGTTTAATTTTCAGGACTTTAAATCACTAAGTATTCTTAATTTGCAGGTTTTATCTGAGAGAACGAATATTGAACTTTGGGTTTGTGCCAACATCATTCGTCTCTTTAATGATGATAACACAATTCCCTTCATTATACGTTATCGAAAAGAGCTCATTAATAACCTTGATGCCGATTCCTTGAGAGAAGTTCGACAAACCCTGGAGGAGCTACGGTAAGAAATCCGGAAAGGGATGAGCCTAGTGTAAGGGGAAAAGGATATGTGAGCCAATGAGGACAAACAGTGAGGAAGTGAATGACAATATATTTTGAGAGTTCCGATGTTTTCTTTTCTTGAATTATTGTAGTCTGGGTATAGTCCTGTTCTGACACATGTAGTCGGCTCTAGTTTACTTATTTAGAGGTATACAGAGCCCCTCTGCTGGTGTGTTTATATTTACCATGGCCATGTATCAGCAAAAAGGTGGTTTGCAGTGAAAGTATGTGCCTAAGAGTGACTGTCATCTCTCATAGAAATGGTTGTGCATAATGGCAAAATTAGGACAACTAGCAATACGTTTTAGTCTAAATCTTCAACAGCTTGCATAAAACTGTTCTCTTAATACTATAAAGTCCCTAAATGGAGAGTTCTTTGGCAGTATAGAGTTTGATAGGAAATATGTGTATTTCCTTTTTTTAAATGGCATGGTAATTTAATATTAGTGCATTGTAAGTTTTGTATGGTTATAGAATGGAAAATACTCTTTAAAAAATTATGCCTATGGACTTATTGTAATAACTCAGAACTATGCATACAAAGACTATGAGACTCTATATTATTTAGTAGAGTTTTTAAAACAGTCTTCACCATTCATGCATTTATTATGTGTCTCATACATGCCAGGTGCTGTGTTGTTAATGTGTGTGTTCTTCAAATCTGCAACAAGGATCTGATTAAAATTGGATATAATCCTACCATCAAGCCATTCTAAAAGTACTAAGGGTTATTTTTATGACATGCCTAATAAACTTTCTGTGATTTTTGGGGAACTTGCAACTCATTAACTTTTCTACCTCTTTTGTTGAAATTCTTTTAGTGCCAAGAGGACTAGTGTGCTAATATGTGGAGAGTTGTATTTCCTTAAGAGGCAGCATCAGTTAGCCAGCCCAGAAGTACAAATGACTAGCTAATCTACTGGCCTCAGGGTCAGATCTTCCAGGGCCAGGCTAGTTTATAATCAAGTAGCAAAGTAGCAAGGCTTGTGAACTGGAGATCACAAGTCCTGACTAAGAGGCGCAGCCTCTACTCATCTCCAGCAGATTACTGACACGCAGGATTGTCTACCCAGTTTGTCAAATCTTCCTATTTCTGAAAAGAAGCTAGTAATCTGGGTTTTTATGTAGAAAATTTCTGGACCAAACAAAACCCTCTGCAGGCCACATCTAGAAGACCAGCAGTTTGCAGATTCTGACGTAAGCTTTCTGTTTGGTTGAAGGCAAGGTATGAAGAAAATCTGAGGGTTTTGGGATGTGAAATTGGGGAAGTGTTACAAACAAGAATAGTTTACTTAATAAAATTAAAGGTATTCTAACAATATTGGGTTGTATAGGGAACAGATAGAAGTTTTATGTCACAATTATTATTTCTATAAAAATCATTTCTGCAAAAGAGTTCTAGTCTTTGGGTATCTATTAATAGAGCAATACGTTAACTGGGGCTTAGAAGATCTTTTTATATCATACAGAGATTCCTTTTTGGTAATGAGTTATGGTTTCCATCTTTTCTTAAGCTTGGCATTTTCTACAAGTAGAGCATTGGTTTTCAATCTGTTAATTGCTACCCGTAAATGAGTAGTGAAACTAGTTTAGTAGGGCATTACCACTTTTGAAAAAAAAGAAATAGAGAACAGAAAATGTGAGTGTAGTTTATGTGGTAAGCATAAGTACTGTTTCTTGAAACTATTTGAATTATATGTATGTATTTGCATACTGGGTTGCAAATAAAATATATTTCTTAGGGTCACTTTAAAAAAAGTGAATTAAAAAGTATGATTATGGATATTAAGAAAAGTTTCCTGTATTTTCTCTAAAGAAAAGCCTTATATGCAGGCCAACAGGACATTGGTCTTTTGTCAAAATGACCCTGGTAGGCTTTAGCGCTTGAAAACAGTCTTGGGCTACCAGGACTGTAAAAGATAGGCTGTAATCTAAGGACTGCATAGTCTTCATCTTTAATTTACAATCTGCCTTTAGTTTGTTTTTTTCTTTAGTAGATTTAATTTTCTTTTCCATCAGTCGTTTTTAATAATTTATCATCTCTCTAACTTTTGCCCATCATTTTAGCAGTACCCTTATTAGGTAGATCCTGTAAAGAGGAATAGGTAATGAAATGGGATGAGAGGCATTAAATATGACAATAGGATACCATATTCACAGTGAAAAATCATTGTAAAGTGGTGGAATGACCGTGCACTGCCCCTGCCCTTGCCCGTACCTGTGCATTGATCCCTATACATTGAATCTTGGAATCAGCTTTTCTCCTGGTTGTTTTTAGTGGAGAATGGTATTTAGAAACCAATTATGGGTGCTAGGTGTACTCATCCTGAGCTTTGATACCTAACAGCAGTGAGCACACCTGGCACCCATAAATTGGTTTCTAAGTACCATTCTCTTGATTTCAGGGCTGGGATAGGGAAAGTAAAAGATGAGCTTGGAATATCTTGTGCCAGAGAAGAATGATGGGGACATGTCAAAAGGACACAGAAGCTAGCTTGGCGGGGTTACTTCTGGCCAAATCTGAACAATTTGAGCATTGAAATAAATGATAGCAATTTATTTTAACCACTAAAAAAAAAAGAAGCCATGAATCTATAGTAATAAGTCAATGAATAAATTGAAAGTTTAATAAGGAATGGGATAATCAGAGTACCTCTCCTGAAAATACTTAATTACAAAGGGAATAAAGAGTACCTGTATCATGGAGAAACCTACAAATACTACCTTAATCAAATGACCAAAGTTAAGTAGTAATGGGACAAATGAAAATCATTTGCCACCTAATTGGATGTAGTGAGAAGAACATAGCATTACTTCTATGATATTTTTGCCAAAGATGCACCGTCTGAATCAAACTGTGAAGAAATGTCAGAGAAACCCAAACTGTGGGACATTCTCCAAAATAACTGGCTTGTAACATTCTACAGTATCAAGGCTTTGAAAATGAAAGAGAGCCTGGAATAATGTTTCAGCTTGCAGGAGAGTATTGACACAAGGCAATTATGTAATTCTTAACTGAATTTATTATAAAGGACTTTATTGGAACAGCTGGTGAAATGTAAATGATGTGTGAGGATCAGATGATTGTAAATTCAATGTTAATTACCTGAGTTTGATGGTGGTTGTTGTTATGTAGGAGAATATTCTTATTTATAGAAAATGCACATTAAAATATTTGGGGTGATGCTAACTTATTCTCAAATGGTTCAGAGGAAAAAAAGTTCTTTTTATTTTACCTGCAACTTTTCTGTAAGTTTGAAATAACTTTAAAAAGGAAGTTTTGACATGTAGGTCTTGTATATTACAAAAGTTTTTATTTTCAGGGCTGTTGCAAAGAAGGTTTATAGTACAATCCAGAAAATTAAGAAAGAGGGGAAGATGTCTGAATGCTTGTTAAAAGCCTTGCTGAACTGTAAAACTTTTGAAGAACTAGAACACGTGGTAAGGAATCCTTTTTATCTTTTAATGTAATACCTGAGTGCATTATGATTTGGGTCTTTTTATAGATAAAGAAGACCTGGTGAATAAGAAGCTAAAGTTATCAGCCATCATTATTTAATTTGACAAAATATTTATTCTTTATTCAGTAAATATCTACCAAGTGGTTTTTTGTGCTAAGCACTTGAATTTACAAAGATGAGTAATACATAGTCCTTATCTTCAAGGAGTTTCCAGTTGAGTGGGGAAAAAGGAGAGTAGGTTATTGAAGTGTGAAGCTTAAGGGAGAGTGCTGGGCTGGGGACCTAGATGTGAGCATCTTCAGCATACAGTTGATGTTTGAAACCATGAGAGTGGAAGATTGCACTCAAGGAGAGTTTGTGGGGTAGGCAGATCAGGATAGACCATTGGGGAACACCAACTTTGGAAGCATGGGTGGAGGAAGGGAGAGCTTAAGAAGGAGACATGGAAAGAATAGTCAGAGAAGTATGAAGAAGTTCAGGAGAGGATGATACCATGAAAGACCAGGGAAGAGAGTTTTAGGAGGTAATGATCAATAGCTAAATAATTAAAGGTAGCAGGGAGATTTGGCAAGATAAGGACTGAAAATGTGTATTTGGTAATTAGGGGTTCGTTATGGATCTTTGTGATACTGGTTTCAGCAAGGTTTTTGTGGAAAGAGAAGCCAGATGGCTGCGGGTTGAGAAGTGAATGTGGATTATGAAGTAGAAGCGTTGTGTTGGCAGCTTTTAGAGGAGCTTGCTGGAGTTGAGGAGAGGGCCTTGCAGTCCTTGCAGTCTTTGTGGTCTAGGCCCTGAGTTTTTAAGATGACTGAATCTAAACAAGTAACTAATTTTAAGTGTATGGAAACGTATAAAGAATTGGATAAGGAACAACCATTTCACAGAGCTAATATTCTCAAGTTAGTGTTACTAATTCATCTCTCAAGGAGGAGGAGAGGGTTGAGAAAAGGATATCTTTATTGTTCTCACCATGTCCTTTAATTTTGTGTCCTAATTTTAATTTTTGCCTTTCAAAATGGAATGATTTGGTATGTTTTCTCACTTTTTTTGCCCTTAGTCGGCTCCATATAAAACTGGGAGCAAAGGCACAAAAGCCCAGAGAGCAAAGCAGTTGGGATTAGAAGGAGCAGCCAGGACACTGCTGGAGAATCCAGGGGGGCTCAGTCTGCTGTCTTACGTGCGACCCAATGTAAAAGGTACTACCTTTGCTTAAAGAGATCAGCCCTGTTTCTTTCTTTTTCAATTCAAAAACTTCTGTTAAAAAATTATTTCTTTAGGTATTGACTATATAAAAGAATATTATAGCATGTAAAGAATAAGTAATTCTAGGGCTGGCCCCGTGGCCGAGTGGTTAAGTTCGCGCGCTCCGCTGCAGGCGGCCCAGTGTTTCGTCGGTTCGAATCCTGGGCGCGGACATGGCACTGCTCGTCAGACCACGCTGAGGCAGCGTCCCACATGCCACAACTAGAGGAACCCACAACAAAGAATACACAACTATGTACCGGGGGGCTTTGGGGAGAAAAAGGAAAAAATAAAATCTTAAAAAAAAAAAAAAAAAAGAATAAGTAATTCTAGTAAAACAAATCTCGTATACCTCCTGCTTCGCCATTCTGCCTTCCTCTTTTTTTTTTTTTTTTTGAGGAAGATGAGCCCTGAGCTAACTGCTGCCAATCCTCCTCTTTTTGCTGAGGAAGACTGGCCCTGAGCTAACATCCATGCTCATCTTCCTCTGCTTTCTATGTGGGATGCCTACCACAGCGTGGCTTGCCAAGCGGTGCCATGTTCGCACCCAGGATCCGAACTGGTGAACACTGGGCCGCTGAAGTAGAATGTGCTCACGTTAACCGCTGTGCCACCGGGCCGGTTCCTCATCCTTCCTGTTTTGATGCCTGTTCTAGTCTTTTGACCATTTTTCAATTGTGTCATTTCTCTTTTTCTTATTTATTTGTAAGTATTTTTAAGATATTGTTTCTCAGTTAAGTGTGTTTCTCAGTTTAAGATGTTCTCTCCCAGTTTGTAACTTCTCCTTTCACTTTCTTTAGGCAGTCTCTTGGTAAATAGAAGGTCTTACTTTTATTATAGTTAATTTATTAATCTTTTTAATTTTACTAATCTTTTAAGATAATTGCTTTTTTTCCTTCTTAAAGAAATCCCTTCACATCCCGAGGCTATAAAGATTCTCCTATATTGTCTTTTAAAACTTATTCTATGTCTAAAAATTTATTTAATTATAAAAGTCATAGCTACTCTTTAAAAAGAATTCTAGCAGTTCTGACATACACAAAGTGTAAAGTGAATCCTTCTCCCGCACTTGTGCTCTCCAGGAGGAAAGTGTTTGTCTTATTCTGAAGTGTATCTTTCTATCCTTTTGTGTGTGTGCGTGTGTGTGCACAAGAGAGAATGAGAGAGGAAGCGGGTAAGGGAGAGAGATTTCTAAGAAAAATCCAAGGAAAGTGACAACTGATACGTGTCAAGATGCATTGGTTTTACTGTCAAAATGAGGGCCTTAGAGTGAGAGTCTTTTGAGTAGGAGCGCATCTTTTCAGGGATGCTCTGATAGGATTGATGGGGAGGTCGATGCTCTGGTGATCCCTACGCTTGTTTAGTTTCTTTTGGCCTTCTGTTGATTCTTTAGGCTGGGAGATCTAAGTGTCTGTAGAGGGCAGTCTCTGATAACAGAATCCACAGTATGTGCAAAACTGTAGAGAATCATAGCATACCATAACTTGTTTTTGTTTTAAATAATCCAGTAAATGTGAGTTGAGATTAAAAAAATTGAGTATGTGTGTTTTTTAAAATAAAATATATCTGTTCCTATGTGAATACACATATCTTAATGTCTGTTTTGAAAGGGCAATAATGAAAAGAAGAGGTATACCAATATTTGAATTTAGAGTTGGGTTGAAATGAGTAAAATTCAAGTTTAATTTTTTAATGTGTATTTTTAGTTAGATTTTCAAATACTTGCAACATTTAATATTTTAATGATAACCGAGACTATATAGCCAAGCATTAAGGTAAGCCACAGTGGGAGCTATCTGTGCCCAGTTATGGTATGTTTTATTAGAATCAAATGTTGGAGCTTTCAGAAATGTTAGATGCATAAAAGTTTATCGTTTGGTTTTATTTTTCTCTTGTAGTTGATTATTTTCCTTCTACTCCTCACTTCCTTTGGTACAAAGTTTTCCTTAGTTCACACTCATACTAGTTCCCACTGGCTAGGTTTGATAGCCATGTCTCTTTTGCTTGTCATATATGTTGATGCTCCTCGACTACATGATGGTGGATGCTTGGTGATACTTCTGATAATGGGGATCGGTCATAGCACAGTTACAGTAGCACTAGCACATGTGTCAGGACTTTCTGTTTGCTTTAGTCCCTCTTTCTTTCACTCTGATCACAAACGTAGAAGAATTATAATTCTAAACAAGCTAGATACTGCTTTTTAAAGTTTACTTGGAATGTTTTTCCTTTCTTTTTCCCCTTATTCTTTATGTTACACACACTCATGATCACCCTCAGCTCTATGACTGTTTCTCTAAAGAAGTATTTTTATCATTCTCATCATTCCTCAAAGAAACATTTAAGAAACCAGAGATTTCAGTGGGTTTTTTCCCCCAATAGAAGATACGTCTTACTTGCCACAGGTCAACAAGAATTTCGTCTGACTCAAGAAGATATACTGTGCCACAAATGGACTGCATCCTAGAAGATCCAGGATATCCCCATGTTGTATAGAAGGAGGAGTAACTGATTGCTTTGTTGTGTGTAAGAAGAGGTGGCCTTAGTGCAGATCAAGTAAAAAGAAATGTTGGCCCTTAAGTTTTTGTTACACTGTGGAGGTTTGAAGAATCTGTAGCTGGGAAGCTTTTGCTACAAGGCAAAGGATATGGTTCTGTGGACTTTATTTTCTCTTGATTTCACTGAGGTGCTACACTTTTGGAAGTCCTATTATCCTTGGCTGTATTAAGCCCTAAAGATCACTTCTCTTTGATGGAAGAAGGGGCTTTTTCAAAACACACAAGACTCTTCCAATTCTTTCTCTCCCTTGTTGGGCTGAGAGGGGGTGTATAATTTGAATGAGCTTCCCGAATGACTTTGATAATTTCTGCCTTCCGCTGAGAACCACTGCTCTAGAGATAGCACAAGGCACCTCCCCAGCAGTGGTGTTTTAAATTTTCCTGAGTATCAGAATCGTCTGGGATGCTCTGTAAAGCAATAAACCCCCACATCTATATTTGTAACAAGTATCTAGTGTGATTGTATTTTTCAAGTCTTTAGACTATACTTTACAAAACATTGCTCCAGAGCTCTAGCATAATTTTAATCACATAATTTCATTAATTACATATGGCTTACAAATTGTATTCCCCCCAAATATCGGAGGCTTTTCAAAGGCCCTTTGTTACAACAAAATCTGTGATTTCCTCTTTCTGTTCTCCTATTAATGGTTCTCATGGTACGTTACATCTTTACTACTGACTTATCACCCTGGTGTTCTCATTAAACTTGGTATAATGATGCTGTGAGATGCTTTGGGACTCCAGGAATTAGTGCATAGTGAATGGTTCCTTAGATGAAGACTGATGTAGGGAGAGAGCTAACACAAGAGCACACATGTATTGACTGCTTTACTCTGTGCCACAGTTGTTCTAAGTCATTTACATATGCAGTCTTCTACCTCTCAAAGGTGATTTGTTCCTGAAAATTCCCTCACAGGGAAATTCTTTTAAAGTGTAAACAGAATACCTATTAATTTCAGTGGCCAAATTTCTTTAAAATAAACAGTTACTTTAGTAGTTAAAATTAGTTATCAGAACACAACCCAACCAGACATTTTCCTTTTATTGATTACTCCATAATAAATCTGTCCTCTTGTTCTCTTTCTTTTGTACCTATTAGTCATTAAACCTGTATTCTCAGAAAAACATACTTATGATAACCACTGCTTACGTAATTCAAGTTTTAGTGCAAGAAAAAAAAAAAAGAAGCTTTAATGGAAACAGAACAATAGGATGATAAAGACCAAAGAAAGAAAGTAATGCAAATGATCTCTCTCTGTATAAGTTACTATCTTCAGACCATGATATACAAGACTCAGTGGTGTAAATTAGCAAACCAAAAACACTTGGACAGAACTTAACGCACTGTTGGTAGACAACTCAGCTATGAAGATGAACAACCACGTGATGGCTCTTGTTTTGTGCTCATGAAATTTGAGAAATTCAAATGGGTGAATATGTGAATAAATGCCTCATAAGTCAAAATAAGAATGTTCATAAAAAGGAGAATTTTTGTAACTGGAATGAAACGGTTTACTTTGGGAGATGGCTTTATTAATATATATTTCCCATAACATGCTTAATCTTTGTAAATACTTCAGGAAGTAGGTACTGTTATTATTCAATTTTTATAGGAAACTGAGTCACAGAGAGGTCAAGTAACCAGCCCAGGGTCACATACTTGGTAAGTGGTAGAAAAAGGATTAGACCAGGCCGCTGGCTCCAGAGCTGCGTTTCTCACCACTCGGTTACGTGCTTACGTGAAGGTCGTCCTGTATTATTGCTTTGGGAGCCGTATGTTGTCGCAGAGGGAGGCTGGTTACTGCTATGATACCTTTCTGTCTTCAGTTTGTCAATTTAAGGTTTTATTTTGACTGGAATAAATTTATTGTGATTTTTCTGGGCTTAAAAGCCCATCTGTAGTTCTTGCTTTTGTTTTCGCTCTTCCCCTTCTCCTAAAGGGCTCTCAGCACTCCAGGATATTGAAACAGGAGTGCAGCATATTCTAGCAGACATGATTGCTAAAGACAAAGACACGCTGGACTTCATTCGGAAATTGTGAGTAACTCTTTTATGGAGTTTTTTCTGCTTTGTGGACTCACGCTGTGAAGGGTTGCATGGTTTAGTGCTAACACCAGTATTCATTAAAAACTTATTTTCAGACTTTTTCAAGTAGCAGAACTCTTTGTTCAAGCAACAGAACCCTAATATATAAAACAGATAAAAGTAAAGTTGCTTTAATTGAATTCTGGGCAGGGAGCCTGGAACTCTGCCTGCTCATCCTCCTTAACGCTGAAGCACCTCAGTGGGGAGCTCTGAGGAACAGAATTTAAAAACCATTGCATTACATGATATATGCTAGAGAGAGGTTCATATTCATTTTGAGTGGGTGGCATTGCTTTTTAAACATATTGTGATGTATGTACTTAATTTTATGATCTCTTGGGGCTGGCCTCGTGGTTAAGTTTGTGCACTCTGCTTCGGTGGCCCATGGTTCGTGTGTTGGGATCCTGGGTGCAGACCTACACATCGCTCATCAAGCCATGCTGTGGTGGCATCCCACATAGAAGAACTAAGAGTGACTTACAACTAGGGTATACAACTGTGCACTGGAGCTTTGGGGAGAAAAATAAATGTTTCATTTCTGGTATTTATCAGTGATTGGATTAACTTGAGAATGTTTAACATCAGGTATACATAAAGTGCTGACCTCAAAATGAATTTTAGCTGATGTAGACAGCAGCTTATCCATGGTATTGCAGTTCCAATTTATAAGATGTTAAAATCCTTTGACCTAGACCTTACTTAGTCATATGGATTTTATGCCTCATTAAAAAATATGTTAATTTAAAACCCTATTTTTCTGTACTCTGTCCTTCCTTTTCTGCTGTTTATCAGAAGAGACGACAGAGTTTTGCCAGAGGTCTGTTCACATCTCTCCACATCTTTAGCTGTGTGAGTGGAGGAGAGGGAAGGTGGAGATGAGCCTGTTGACTATTGTTGCTTGTTAGGTTTTTGTTAACACAAGGGAGAGAACTTTTCCATTTTTTCAGTGGTCCTAGCAGGAATGACTTGAAGTAGAAGAAATGCCCAGGTTTTTAAGTGTTTTTATAAATAATTATACTGCTGAAATTTGGTTCACTTTTATAAATTGTCATTGGAAGCTGTCATGATACATCCTCTTGTTTCCCTTCTTTTTGGCTTTTAATTGGTTCTGACTGCCTAACTCACTGGTTAGAAAAGGATAATATCTAGACCAGAGTTATTAATCTGATTCTTGTAGACAGTTTTGGCCTCTTGCATAATGGTATCTGAAATCACTTAGGCATTTTATGGGAGGATTAGCTTGATATATAAATATATCTGTAGGACCTATGCCAGCATGAATAGGCAGAGTCCTCTTTTGATGGGTCAGTAACTTTGTGTGTGTGTGTGAGATGAAGATTTGCCCTGAGCTAACATCTATTGCCAATCTTCTTTGCTTGAGGAAGGTTGTCAGTGAGCTAACATCTGCCAATCTTCCTCTGTTTTATGTGGGATGCTGCCATGGCGTGGCTTGATGAGTAGTGCTAGGTCCACACCTAGGATCCGAACCTGTGAACCCCGGCCTGCCAAAGCAGAGTGTGTGACCTTAACCACTATGCCACCAGACCGGCCCTTCAATAACATTTTTCTATTTTGGCATCATTAAAAAAACATTTCATTTGGTAATGGCTTAACTTTTTTGCTAGACTTATTTCCATATAACTGTTTCTTTACTAAAGCACATATTAATAACTACTTGTTTTTTGAATATTTCTGTATCTGAACAGGTGCCAAAATAGATATATTTGTATCCAGTCATCTCTGGCAAAAGTCTCCTCAAAAAAAGTAAATGAGAAAGATGTTGATAAGTTTCAGCTGTACCAGAATTTTTCATGCAACATAAGAAACATCCAACATCATCAGGTAAATAAGGAAACTGCTTCTGTATGCTGATAGTAGTAATAATGATAATACTTTCGATTTGCCTACTACTCTGCTTATTAAGGAAGTAAAGACTTTTAAGTCAACTCTTTCCTTTTTTCTTCATATAAATTCTTATAATATAATCACATCCTCCCCATTTCAGAAATGGGAACTCAAGACCCAGAGAAGTTAGTGACACTGAAAATTCTGAGCCGAGCTGACAATATAACACCTCAGGCATCTTGTCTTTCTGGCCAGTGATCTTTCCCTTGTGATATACTGATTGGAGATATCTGATTCACAATAAATTGCAAGAGATCTCACTCACTTAGTTGTATAAATCATACTCATTATATCTCAGTCTTTTGATTTCATTTTTCAGTTTACTAAGTTTTTCCTAATTTTAGTCAAAGGTTGTATCTACATTGTGAAATGAAGCTTTTAGGTCATATAGAAAAAAAAAAGATAAGTTACACATCGAAAATACAGTAATGGCTTTTATCTTTCCTATATAGCTACCTTTACCAGTGCTGTTTATTTCTTTGTATGCCTTTGAGATACTCTCTAGTGTCCTTTCATTTCAGCCTGAAGGACTTCCTGTCACATTTCATGTAGGGCAGGTCTACAGATACTTTAGTTTTTTGTTTATCTGGAAAGTCTTAATTTCTCTCTTTATTTTTACAATTTCCTTTTAAGTGTGGTAAAATACCTATAACATAAACTCTACCATCTTAACCATTTTTAAGTTTACAGTTCAGTAATGTTAACTATATTCACATTATTGTGCAGCTGATCTCCAGAACTTTTTCATCTTGAAACTGAAACTGTATACCCATTAAACATCTCCTTCATTTTTGAAGGATAGCTTTTTCCGGATATAGAATTCTTGATTGACAGTTTTCTCCTTTAGCACTTTGAATATGTCATCCTACTATCTTCTAGTCTCCATGGTTTTTGATGAGGAATCAACTCTTAATCTTACTGAGCCCTTGCACATGATGAGTTACTTCTTTCTTTTTGTTCAAGATTTTCTGTCTTTGGCTTTTGACAATTGGATTATAATATGTCTCACTGTGGATCTCTTTGAGTTTATCCTTCTTGGAGTTTGTTGTGATTCTTGGATGTGTAGATTAATGTTTTTCTTCAAAATTGGGAAACTTTTGGCCATTACTTCTTCATTTGTTCTTTCTGCCCCTTTCTCTTCTCTCTTGGGTCTCCCATTATACGTATGTTGGTATGCTTAATTGTGTTCCACAGGTCTCTTTGTCTCTGTTCATTTCTTTTCTTTCTTCTCAGACTGTATAATCTCAAAAACTGAGCCCCTTCAGGTTTGCTGATTCTTTCTTCTGCTTGCTCAGATTTGATACTGAACCCCTCTAAGGAATTTTTCATTTCAGTTATTGTACTCTTCAGCTCTAGAATTTCTATTTAGTCCCTTTTTATAATTTCCAACTCTTTATTTATATTCTATATTTATTGAAACAACATTCTCCTGATTTCCTTTAGGTCTCTGTCCTGATTTCCCTTAACTCTGAGCATATTTAAGATAGTTGATTTAAAATCTGTTTAGTAAGGCCAATGTCTGAGCTTCCTCATGGACATTTTCTACTAATTTCTTGTTTTCCTGTAGATGAGTCATACTCTTTTGTTTGTTTGCATGCCTTGTAATTTCTTGTTAAAAAATGGACATTTTGAATATTATAATTTGGAAACACTGAAAATCAGATTCTCTCCCTCCCCAGCATTTGTTGTTGCTGCTGTTGTGGGTTTTGTTGTTTGTTTGTTTAGGGACTTCTAAACTATCTTTGTGAGGACTGTATTCTTTGTCGTATGTGGTCACTAGAGGCTCTGTTTCATTAGCTTAGTGGACAGCTAGTTACTTGACAGATTTCCTTAAATGCGTGAAGCTAAAACAAAAAACAAACTCTCCTAGTTCTTGCAGACTGGCTCTGTGTTGTGCCACTCCTTCAACACTTAGTGAGACTGTTTACAACTCTGCTTTAGCCTTCACTTTCTCTTTGTACAGAACCCCAAGGTCAGTCAGAGGTGAAAGCTTAATGTCCTCTCAGGTCTTTTCAGAGCAAGTGTCTAGTCCTGAGCATGTATGTGGCCTCCTAGACTCCCTAATATAGACAGGAACTTAAAAAGGTCCTTTCCCCTCAAATGTCTCATTTCCCAGCCTCTTCTTTCCTGGGTGTTTTTGGTCTGTCTTTTGATTTCCCTGAGTGTAATTCTTATCCCTGACTGTTGTTATCCCTTAAGACTGTTAACCCTTAAGACTGTGGCTAATCCATTTGCCTTTAAATACTTTTAACAAATACTACTCAGGAAATTGCCTCTGTCCTGGGAAAGCTCTGAGGCAGGCAAAACAAAGGCAAGCTCTTGAGCCAATGCCTCAGGGAGCCACCAGACAGATCAAAACACACAATCACTGTTTTTTGAGAATAAAGTCCACATTGCTCCCTCTGGTACTAGCAGTCTGCACCATGAGTGTAGACTGCTATCTTCATGGCCACTGCTGAGCTGGAGAGTGGGGGATAGTAAGAGGGAAAGTTAAAAGTTCTCTTTTACCAAAATTCTGCAGCTTCTTTCTTCTTTAACTGTTGCTCTGGTTGTTGTAATTCTTGGATTTGGATTCCAGAGTTCTGAAAAAGTTGATTGTGAGTTTTTGTCAGTTTATCTGTTACTTTAGTAGAGTGATGGAGTTTTGGTGTTTCTCACTCCACCATTTTGGTGATGTCACACCTAACAGCATCTTTAAAGTGTAGGTATGTATTCCCCCTTGTTCTATTCCAAAACCAGAATGTTGCTTTAACATAATAAATATCCTTTATCTTATTTAATGCTTTTTAGCTTGAATTCTACTTTGGTATCAGGATTACAGGATAATCCTTTCAGGTATAAAAATTATAATTTTGTTGAAGTTCAATCTCTTTTTTTGTTGATTATGCTTGTGGTGTTGTATCTAAGACCTCACCTAACTTAGGAAGATTTTCTCTTATATTTTCTTCTAAGAGTTTTATAGTTTTAGTTCTTATGTTAAAGTCTGTGACCAGTTTTGAGCTAATTTTTGTGTATGATATGAGGAAGGGGTCCAACTTCATTCTTTTGCATGTGGCTATCTAGTTGTGGCAGCATCACTTGTTGAAAAGACTGTATTTTCTCCATTGAATTGTCTTGGCACCCTCGTAGAGAATCAATTGACCATAGAGGTATGGATTTATTTCTGGACTCTCAATTCTTTTCCATTGATCTATATGTCTATCCTTATGCCAGTAGCACGCTGTCTTGATTACTGTAATTTTGTAGCAAGTTTTGAAATGGGGAAGTGGGAGTTCTCCAACTTTGTTGTTCTTTTTCAGAATTGATTTGGCTATTCTTGGTCCCTTGAATTTCCATATGAATCTTAGAATTAGTTTGTCAGTTTCTGCAAAGAAACTAGCTAAGATTTGATAGGGATTGAGTTGAATCTGTAGATCAATTTGGGGAGTATTGCCATGTTAGCAATATAAAGGCTTCTGATCCATGAACATGAGATGTCTTTCCATCTATTTAGCTCTTCTTTAGTTTCTTTTAACGTTTTGTGCTTTTCAGAGTATAAATTTTGCACTTCTTTTATTAAATTTATTCCTAACTATTTTATTCCTTTTGGTGTTAACGGTAAGTGGAATTTTTAAAAAGTTTCATTTTCAGAGTGTTTATTGCTAATTTGTAGAAATTGATTATCCTGTAACCTTGCTGAACTCTATTAGTTCTAATAGGTTTATAGTGGAGTCCTTAGGATTTTCTATATACAGGATCATATTATCTGCAAATAGACTTTTACTTCTTTCTTTTCAATCTAACTATCTTCTATTATTTTTTTCTTTCCTAATTTCCCTGACTAGAACCTCCAGTACAATGTTGAATAAAAGTGGCAAGAAGAGACACCCTTGTAATCTTAGAGGGAAAGCATCTAGTCTTTCACCATTAAATATGTTGTTATCTGTGGGGTTTTTGTGTGTGCCCTTTATCACGTTGAAGAAGTTGCCTTCTATTCCTAGTTTGTTGAGTGGTTTTATCATGAACAACTGCTGGAATTTTGTCAAATATTCTTTCTGCATCTATTGAGATGATTGTGTAATTTTTGTTTCTTACTCTATTGGTATAATGTATTATGTTAATTGATTTTTGGATGTTAGACCAACCTTGCATTCCTGAAATGAATCCCTTTTGATCCTGGTGTATAATCCTTTTTATATGTGTCTGGATTTGGTTTGCTCATATTTTATTGAGGATCTTTACATCTGTATTCATAAGAGGTAATGGTCTGTATTTTTTCTTGTGATGTTTTTGTCTGGTTTTGCTATCAGTGAATAGAAAAAGTTGGGAAATGTTTTCTTCTATTGTATTTTTTGGAAGAGTTTGTGAACAATTGGTGTTAATTCTTTAAATGTTTGGTAGAATTCAGTGGTGAAGCCATCTGGGCCTGGGAATTTCTTTGTGGGAAATTTTTAAATTACTATTTCAATCTCTTTATTTGTTATAGATCATTTTGGATTTTTTATTTCTATTTGATTCTGTTTTGGCAATTTGTGTCTTTATAGGGATTAGTCTATTTTATTTAAGTGATCTAATTTGACATACAGTTGTTCATAGTATTCTCTTAGGATCCTTTTTATTTCGGTAGCATCCACAGTAATGGCTCCTCTTTCATTCTAGATTTTGGTAATTGGAATGTTTCTTCTTTTTTCCTTTGTTGGTCTAGTGAAAGGGTTGTCAGTTTTGTTGATATTTTCAAAGAGCCAACTTTTGTTTTTGTTGATATTTTCTACTGTTTTTCTATTCTCTGTTTTGTTAATTGTCCCTCTTTTCTTTATTATTTCTTTCTTTCTGCTTGCTGTAGGTCTGTTTGCTCTTCCTTAAGGAATGTTTTCAATGTGTTTTAACACAGTTGCTCTTTTACTCTATTAAGAGCATGAACAGGTTGATCTAAACTTAAATTCCTCCTTTGCTACTTGCTGACTTTGTGATTTGGGACACGTTAGTCTTAGAAAAATTATTATATAAAATGAAGACAATAATACATCACTGGTGGCTTTGAAGATTAAATGAGATAATGTATGTAAAGTGCTTTGATGGGCCTGACAATTAGTAAGTGCTCAATGAATGGCAACAAGAAGTAGTTATTAAATATTCTGCTTAGAAATCTCCATGTTTGTATTTATCTTAGCAGTATCTTTTCACAAATATAAAAAGTATATCTTTCTAACTCAAGATGATCAAATATTTTCAATTATTATAATCTGAAATGAGACTTTAGATCATCAGAGTCTCTTCCTGTGAATGTCATAGGCTTTGTACCTGTATTTTATTTTTAAAAAACTTGAAAAAAGTATAAAGAAATGATTATTTTTTAATACATTCTTGGTAAATAAATGAATAAAAAATGGATATAGCTGTGGGCTGGATAACCACCCAGTTTGTTTCACAAATCTTGACTGGTTAAATTAGTCTTTTGTATATGGTCTTTGTCATATATGTTTGCACGCAGATTCTGGCAATTAACCGTGGAGAAAATTTGAAGATACTGACGGTCAAGGTCAACATTTCTGATGGAGTGAAGAACGAATTCTGTAGATGGTGCATCCAGAATAGGTCTGTTTACAAATTTTTGCAGAATTTCTTTTCGTTTGTTTCTAAAATACCATACTGAGTTCTACACTCACTGGTGTAGAAAGATGTCCATTATGTAAAACAAAAACAATGACAGGCAGTGGATATAGTGTTGTTTTTACATTAAAAAAAAATAAGTATATATGTTGTGTGTGTTTAAATAGAAAATATCTGGGAGGGTACATAAGAATTATTAATGGTGATTATCTCTGGGGAGAGAGACTCTTACTTTAATACTTTTCTGTACCATTTGAATCTTTTATAAAGAGCATGTTTTCTCTTGTGAAAAAAATAAATTAACAAAAACATACTGTATAGCATATCTGAAATGTTTTGTTCACTAAGGATAATTGAAACAAAAATTTAATTTATCAGATATTAGAATATAAATCGCTAAACATACTGTATGTAGTTTACCTAAGATATTTTGTCCATTAATGATGGTTGAAACAAACATTAAATTTATCGGATATTTCAGAGAAATTTGTAAACTCATGTAACTTTTTTTTTCTTTTAAGATTGGCACCTGAGCTAACATCTGCTGTGAATCTTCTTTTTTTTTCTTCTTCTCAAAGCCCCCCAGCACATAGTTGTATGTTCTAGTTGTGGGTGCCTCTGGTTGTGCTATGTGAGACGCCGCCTCAGCATGGCCTGGTGGGTGGTGCCGTGTCCGTGCCCATGATCTGAACTGGTGGAATGCTGGGCCACCGAAGTTGCCACGTGGCCAGCCCCTAAACTCATGTAACTTTCTCTTATCCTTTTCCATTTTAAAGGAACCTTTTAAAATAGCACCACATGTTTGTATAGCACTTTTAACTTTAAGTTTTGACTTTTCAGAGTGTATTTGATCCTCACAACAACCTATTTGGTTAGTAGAGCAGATTTGTAGCTGCCATTTAACCAATGATAAAACTGATACAAAGAGGTTATGTGGCTTGTCTAGCAGTTAGGAGATGTAGGTTTTGGGTACGTTCATCAATAGCTAGTTCTGTGTGACCTTGGGTTGGAGAGATTGCTACTTGAAGAGTTGGATGAATGGTTCTTTGAGAAGAACAAGTGTTGTGTACTTGGGGAATTAGCTCTGTCACCCATCATAGTTCTTGCATCAGTTCATTGGAAGCCAGTTTTCCAAAAGCGAGTTCCATGAAGGATCAGCTTGCTGGATGACCAGATAATACTAACCAAGGACTCATCAAGTAAAACAGCCATCTAAATGTCAATCAGTAGGTAAATTGTTTAAGCCAGTTACGTTATAATCATACAATGGAATTTTGTGTAACCATCTTGAAAAAGTTGAGATAGAGCTAAAGTTGAAATATAATCATGTCTTACTAGGTTAAAAAGACAATTTATAATTAGTATTTATAGTATGATCTCACTAATGGCGAAAAAATATGTCTGTGTATGTGTAGGAAAATGTCTGAAAAGATATAAATGATTTGCCTTAGCTCTGGTGTGAGATTTTCATTTTCTATTCCATACTCTTCTATATAGTTGTCATTTTTTTTGTTTTGGTGAGGAAGATTAGCCCTGAGCTAACATCTGTGCCAGTCTTCCACTGTTTTGTATGTGGGATGCCTCCACAGCATGGCTGATGAGTGGAGTAGGTCCACATCTGGATCCAAACTTCTGAACCCAGACCACTGAAGCGGAATGTGTGGAACTTTAACCACTTGACCATGAGACTGCCCCAGTTGTCATTTTTTAATGAATGCTTATTTCCTTTGTAAGTAAATAAATTCCATTAAATAAAAAGGAAACAACCAAAAGAAATCCTAGATTTAAAAAATTGTATTAAGAAATCAGATAATTTTAATTAAGATATGATGGAACTCTAAAAATGTTTTATAGAAAGAGCAAAATCCTAAGAAGTTTGAATTCCAGTTGTATTACTTCCTAACCTTGTGACTATGAGCATGTTACTTAATTTTTCCCTCAATTTTATTCTTAAAATGGTGAATAATACCTTTCTCATGGATTTGAGAGAATTAAGTGATATTCCAGGTGATTGTGTAGCCTTTGATGATACCACCTATTACAAAGTGGTAGGATTGTTGTGCTAATTTCCTTTTTAGAATGTTTTTTATACGTAAGTCACAGTAAATTGGGGACAACTTCTGGCTTATTTTCCTATGAATATTCATAATACTCAGTATCAGAGTCTGTCCTCAATAGTTAAGGAAGTATTAGTTATGCTTGTAATCTATTGTCTTTGTACTAAGTAAATGTCAAGAAATGGTTTTCCTTGGAGTTATTTAATTATTTTTCCTTGGCTCATCTATGGTTTATTTTGTTCTGTTCTACTCCAAGTGAATATATATTATTTAACCAATACTATAATATTTTGCCTCACTATAGTATTGTGATATAATTTTTAGTCATGTTCTAGAAGTTTCTCTTTATATAGAGAATTGAAGAAAACTTCTATGAGAACTAAAGAACTGAAGCAAGAGCTAGCTAAAATACTTATCTAGGAAGTCAAGAACGATTCTCCAAGAATTTTTTTCTTTAAACACATTTGAATGAATTGAGATGCTTATTCAAATTTTTTCTCCTTCTTTTTTCGACTATCTTTGTCCCTACTTCTGCTACCTTCCACCTCTCCTATGTATTCATGCATTCAGGTTATGTGCTAGATGTTGGGGATCCACCTGTAAACTAGACAAATATACTATCTGCCCTTGGTGACAGTGTACTTTAATGAAGAAGGTACTGAGCAAATGATTAAGAGTATGCTGAGGTCACAAAGGAGAAGTGTAGCCTATTGTAAGAGTTTGTAACAGGGAGCACTCATAGAGTCTGGGCTAGGTGCATATATAGGTCAGAGACAGAAGGAGAGGGAGGAGAAGCAACAAGAAATGAAGATTGAGGTGTAGGCAAGGGCCAGATCATACCTAGCTTTTGAGGCATGCTAAGGATTTTGTTCTTTATCTTAAGGGTGATGGAAAGCCAATAAAGAGTTTAAACAGAGTGTTGTGATTGGTTTGCATTTTAAGAAGATCACTGGCTGCAGTATAGAGAATTATTTGGAGGGAACCAAGAATAGATGTGGGGACAAGAGATGATGGTGGCTTGGACTAGGATGGTAGCAATAGGAAATAAGTAGGCAGATTTGAACAATATTTAGGAGTCTACAGGGTTAGTACAAGGTATCTGATTAGATAGTGGGTGCATTGGTTACAGAAAGTGGTGAACTGAAGAATAACCCTTGTATAGGTTGAACAACAAGATAGATTATCATGCTATAAATACATACAGTACTATATAATTAGGGCAAGGAGTGATTTAAATGAAACTCTTGTTATTATCTAAGGGAGAATACATTTATACCACTGTACTAGTATTAAAAATAATAACTAGGTCCAAATTTGGCTGCTGAACAATTCATCATATAAATTCAACATTTTATACTTAAGTATGTACAAGAAGGTAAGTATGAAGAAGATTTCTGAGCTTGTCAGATGCTGAAATAGTTATTATGTTTGTGAGAACTTCAGTAATCCAAGTTTCTGCATTTGCTCTTTAAACAAAAACGTGTGAAGGAATGATCTCAGCAGTTGCCTGTGCATGAATTGGATTGTATAATAACCAGAACTTGTCTTCTTGAGCTTGCAGATTTTTGTCTTTGACTCGATGAGTGAATTTCTGTTTTCAAATAGAGTCTGGGACCCACAATTCTGTCCCTATCCTCCTGCATCTCTTCTAGGCTCACTAAAGGATTGTGCTGTGATCTTAATAGTCCTATAGGCACTATTTATTTGCCAATTAATTACTGTTCTCTACTTGCATGTAGACTTAAACTGAACAGAATCCTCTCACTTAGAGACACAGAAACAGAATAAATATATTAAACTAATTAAGCCAATGTTTGAATAAAGTATTTGCACGGTACTTTGATCAAAGTTAAGTAGGTGTGGGGCCGGCCTGGTGGCGCAGCAGTTAAGTTTGCACGTTCTGCTTCTCGGCGGCCCAGAGTTTGCCGGTTCGGATCCTGGGTGCAGACATGGCACTGCTTGGCAAAAGCCATGCTGTGGTAGGTGTCCCACGTATAAAGTAGAGGAAGATGGGCATGGATGTTAGCTCAGGGCCAGTCTTCCTCAGCAAAAAGAGGAGGATTGGCAGTAGTTAGTTCAGGGCTAATCTTCCTCAAAAAAATTTTGTAAAAGATTTTTGCATATAAATTCATGAGAGATATTAGTTTTTTCTTTCGTATTTTGTTTTGTAGGGTCTTTGTCTGATTTTTGTATCAGGGTCATAATACTGGCCTTTTAAAGCAAATTGGGAAGTATTCTTTTTTTTTTTTTCTAGAAGAGATTGTGTAAAATTAGTGTTAATTCTTCTTTGGTAGAATTTGGTCGAATTCTCCATCATCTGGGCCTGGAGATTTTTTTTTTGGAAGCTTTTCAGTTACAAAATTCAATTTTTTTGTTGAGTTTTAGTAATTGTGGCTTTTGAGAAATTGGGTCCCTTTTTTTAAGGTTGTTGAAATTATGAGCATAAAGTTGTTTGTAGTATTCCTTTATTATCCTTTAAATAACTGTAGGATGTGAAGTGATATGCTTTGTTTTATTCCTGATCTTAATGATTTATATCTTTTCATTTTTTATTTTGTTATTCTTACTAGAGAATTATCAATTTTATTGTTTTTGAAGAATTGGATATTCGTATCGAGTTTTTAAATTGTTTTCCTATTTGCAATTTCATTGATTTCTACTCTCATATTTATGATTTTTTCCCTCTGGTTGCTTTGGGGTTTTTTTGCTTTTCTTTTTCCTGTTTCTTGAGGTAGGAACTTAGATTATTGATTTGAGATTTTTTTTTTCGGTGTTAGTGTTTATGCTTTTGGTCTTAGTATTTAGTGCTTTTAATTTCCCTCTTAGCGCTGCTTTAGCTTCGCCCCACATATTTTGATATGTATCTTTTTATCTTTATTCACATGTATGTATTTTTAAAGTCTCCTTTGAGACTTCCTCTTTGACCCCTGGATTATTTAGAAGTGTGTTGTTTAATTTCTAAGTGTTTAGAGATTTTCTTGTTTTCTTTGTGTTATTCGTTTCTGGTTTGATTCCATTATGGTCAGAGAACATACTCTTGTATGATTTAAATTCTTTTAAATTTGTTGAGGTTTGTTTTATGGCCCAGGATATGATCTGTCTTGGTAACTGTTCCATGGACACTTGAAAAAAACACATGAATTCTGCTGTTGTTTGGTTTATTGATCTATATGTGTTAGTTAGATCCTATTGGTTGTTTGTGTTGTTCAGATCTTCAGTATCCTTGCTCAGCTGTATTTTATGTTGGTTCGATCCACTGTAAATACTTAGTATTACTAAGATGTTTATGGGTTCTAATGAGATGGTCATGAATGGCAGGTGTTCCTAGGGATTTGGAAATTGAAGAGAATGTCTCTGAGGAAGAGATTTTAATACTTTAAAGTATTGGCTGCTATTAGGACAGATCCTGCCTATTCACATAGTTTGTTTGGATTTTTATATAATCTTGGATTACAGAGTAATTTTGAATAAGTTGCCAATATTTGAAAATTTTAAGAATTTCACATAAAAAGTGTGTTTCTGATTTTTTCTGAAAAACATGATGTGGCATCACTGGCCCTGCATTCTGTTATGGAAACAACTCACTGAAGCTGAGTAGGCTCCTTAGGGAGCAGCATGCTGTCTTTGCAGCAGTCTTCCCCACCCCATGTCAGCCCCCTCCGTGCTTCTCTGTTGGGAACAGTCCTGCTTCCCATTCCCACCCCTATACGATGGCGTTTGAAAATATTGGGGACAAAAATTGGGGATATTTTTGGTGGTTGTCAAATCAATGACTGGGGCTGGATACTAGCCTTTTTTCTTTTTTTAAAGTCGATTTTAGTGCCAGTGCATGGAACAGTCTTGTAAATTATTCTGTCCCAAAATGTCTGTCTCATCACTTTGAGAAAATGTTACACTACAATGGTAGTCCTTTTTTTCATGTGGTACATTTAAGGGGAAGGGTATCCTGTACCCATTTGTCTTTTAAATATGGGAAAATGAAAGCTACATGGAAAGAGCCTATCTTTATGTATAGATAAGAAAAGAGGGGAGTATATTTCTTTGCCAAAGTGGAGAATATTTCTTTGTTTGTAACGGGTGAACAAAGCATATCTCTGTCAAAAACCTACAGAATATGCCATGGATCTTCTTCAGTTGTTTACAGTACTTTTCTGGCCCCTGTAGGTATTTGAGTTCGTGACCCGTGCCTTAATTTGTGTGCTTCATTGTGCACACCTTATATAGCAAGTGTTTTGTATTGTGGAATTTGGTTAAAGTGAGGTCCTTCGTTTTATTCAGAGATGTTTAACTGTTGAATTAGTGGAAGAGTCAAGTTTTAAGATGATATCCTATAAGGCAAACCCGCTGTATTTACTTTAAGTTTAGATATAATAAGGTCTGTGACTTCACTATTTTATTTCAGGTCCCTTCGTGTGCTAAGTGCTAAGTTAATACATCCCAGGAAGCCAGTTAAGGGATAGAAATTGGTGTGGGATAAGGAAGGAAAAGGAGTTTCTGTAATGTAGGAAATGAGTATAGCTGTTATCCTGTAGTGCTGGGTCTGGTGATCTAAAGGTCAGCTGTGAATGGGTATAATTGAGGCATTTTCAAGTATAAAATAGACTCACAGCACTCTGTGTCAGAGAAGGGAGCTGAGCAGTCACACCAAAGGAGGATGTCGAGGTTTAAGGAAGACTGTTGGGGCTTCCAAAGGGATTGGGTAGGTAATGTTAAGGATTTCTGGGTTTTTCCTACAAGTATTGGGAAAACCTTGATTTGGGCTTAAGGGAATGACCCCCAGTAGACATCAGATACATACATTAAAAAAATCACTCCATTAGTGCCCTCCTGCCTCTAAGGACTATCTTCCTAGCCTAATGTCCCATGACCCAGGACTATGTTGGCTCTCCTAAGTGGCCTGATAGCATGATGTATAAGAACCTTGCTGATCTGGCCACTCTCAGAGTCTCTAGCCCCATCTACACCTGACCTGATCCTGCCACTTTGTGTCCAAGCAGTACTAATCTGCTTGTAGTCACTTGAATTTATCATCCTCTTTCATGCCTCAAAGCTTTTACAAATGCTATGATTTCTTCCAAGAATGCTTTTATTCCTTTGTCTTGCTTGGTAAACCACAATTCATTTTTTAAAACCCATCTCAGATGTTTCTCTGGGACATCTTTCTTGACATTGGGTTCCCCAAATTAACAGTAATAATAATGCGTGTCTAATTCCTATCCTACTCCTCCCTACATCCCCTACCCTTAGGTAAAGGTGACAGTAGGGAGTAACAGGGGTTTGGGTAGAAGGAAGCATTTTTGTCCTGCCTAAAAGCACTTTTATTCAAATTGAAAAACAAAACTATATTCTACTCAAATAATACCCTTCTATGAGAGGGATTCAAATAGTTATTATTATGTAACCTTTGGTGTATCACATTGTAAATGCTTAAATGTCTGTTCACTGAAATTTAGTTAATTTCCTAGCTGGGATAAGTAAGGGAGAAGACAGTGTTCCTAAGGTATATTAATGGTATAGTAGAAACCATTAATATTTTATTAATTTATTTGTTAATTTTATTAATTTATTAATATTTTATTAATGGATTCTGTTCAAGAGCCACTGAAGGGCAAGGGCAGAGATGCCATAGATGGATGAAAACACAGAAGGGGTAGGACTGAATTTGTCCTTTTTAGCTTGCCTTTTTCTCTTACCGTTCTTTCTTCAGTGTCCACTAATAATCAGGTCTCTGGCATTTATGTTCATCGGTATGTATGCAGATGTACTGCCTGGTAGAGCAGTACAACCTGAGGAATAGAATGAGTTCTACTCAAGAATGGCAAGAGGCACGGGTTACAGCTGAGTTTCTCCTTTGCTCAGTCTACCTTAACTCTCAGGAAGAGATAAAGAAATGGGAAAAGGATACACTACTTGTCTTAGCTTTGGCTGCCATAACAAAATACCATAGATGGGGTGGCTTAAACAGCAGAAATTTATTTTCTCCGGGTTCTAGACACTGAAGTTTAAGGTCAAGGTGCAGGCTGATTTGGTTTCTGGAGAGAACCCTCTTCTTGGCTTGGAGACAACTACCTTCTCACTATGTCTTACCTGGTTTCAGGGCGGGGGGAGGGATGGGGAGGAGGAGGAGAGAGAGAGCTCTCTGATATCTCTTCTAAAGGCACTACCCTCGTGACTTCATCTGAAGCTAATTAACTCCCAAAGGCCCCATCTCTAAATACCATCCCATTGGTGTTAGGGCTCCAACATGTTAATTTTAGGGGACATAATTCAGTCCATAGCAGTGCTTTAGTAATTTTTTGGTGACTTTCTTATTTCTTAAGGTTTTGACCATTATTAATAATGCTTTGGAGACTCTTCCCAGAATAGGAAAGCTTTTTCCTTCCTTAAGTTTTGTGTGTGACCATGGTTACCAGATTTTTAAAAATAAGAACTCCAGATGTCATAGTAATAATTTCCAGACATCACAGTCTCTCCTCACAGATTATGTTACTTTGGCTTCAATAAACTTTTTTCCCCCTTTTCTGTTCCGCTGCTTCTCCCCTCTTCAGGAGCCTTTTCATGGTCTTGTTATTGTTACATCAATTTTAGTATAGGCTTTCTTTTTTGCAGGTGGAGACCACGAGGCTTTGCAAGGCCAGAGTTAATGAAGATCTTATACAATTCACTGGACGATTCCTTTAAACGCCTTATTTATCCTCTCCTCTGTAGAGAGTTCAGGTATGCATCTTGTCTTATTTAATTTTGTGTACTGTTTATTATTATGTATGGTAATAGGCCCTTTAAAGCTTGTAGTAAATATTTGTCCATGCATTAATCAATCCCGAGAACTGAGTCAGAATCACAAAGTCCTTAATTTAAGCCTAGCTTTCAATCTGTAGAGGCATTCACATGCGTGGATCACAAACGTAGCTCTTGATCACAGTATCCTTTTGAGATCTTGACCACTTAATTTGTACTCCTTCCAGTTCTGCAATACCAGTCTTGAAATTTGACAACCAAGCCAAACAAGTGATTTTATTGATGAGAGATTTGGCTGGGGAGAAACAAACTAAGAAGTTAATGGAGAAGTTAGTTGGAAGCAGTTTTTAGAGATAAGATAAGAGAGCCAAAAAAAGCATGAGGAAATTAGTGGAGCACATGATGAGTTTATTACTGTGAAGAGAGAAAGCTAATATATATGTTTTTAGCTCCAAATGGGAGTTGTTTGGATGAACAGTTATTAGCAATGATGAGCAAATATTAGGAAATTACTAAAGCGCCCATTTAAATGGACTAGCATAAGGACTAGGAGTTACAAAGAAGAAGAACTGCAAAGGAGGTGAGGTGCAGAACTGTTTTTAGGGGAGGAGATGGAAAGAAATGTCTGGAGGCCAAAACCCTCTTCCTGCTTCTCTGCAGCTTTGTCTTGGTAGTCAGTCTTTAGAAACCAGCCATTCCCTCATACATTCCTTCTTATGTGCTACAGATTTTCTTCATTGTCACTTCTTATAGGTTTCAGCAAGGGTTACCTGGGAATTGTAGATTTCTAGGCATCTCTTCAGTCTCACTAAAATTTATAGCTACCTTTATAATGTTTGTCTGTTTTTCTTTTACTGGACTTAGCCATTGACTTTGGAGGTGTTTAGAGCGTGGAGTGAGGAGGTACTGTTATTAAAAAGGACACATAGCTCGTTTGTCCAGCTTCTTTTTATCAAAGTCATTCATTCTCTTGATTCATCCTTTTTAGCCCAGGCGTCTCTTAAAAGTTTTGGAATCCTATTTTATTCCAAGTCTGTGTGAAGTAGCCTCTCTTGATTTTGAGCGCTGGGACATAAAATTAAGAAACAAGGGATTCTGTTCTTAATGAAAGAAAAAAAATGTCTTATTTAAAGTTCATTTCTTTTATATATTTTTTCGTATTTTCTTGTGTTGCCTGTAATGTCCAGTGGCACTTCTGACATTTTTGCATATATTCAATCTGAGTAGCTTCACTGCCTGTGGAATAATTTCATTGAGATTTAATGTAAGCAGTTTGGTGTGGTATTATTTAATGTATAATCCTTCTCTGACTTCCATTAACAGTGGGTGAGCAAGAGCTCTTTCCTTCTCTTTTTCTAAAATGCCTGTGGTTAAAAAAATATATCTTATGTCAGTCCATAAGTTGATTTGCAGACATTGTCTACAGATGTGTCTCTTGATAGAAATACTTCTAATTACCTGAACAGCAGTTGGAGTGGAAAACTCCCAACCGATGGTTTTTTTTTTTAAAGAAAAAAAACTTTAATTCTCTAATTAAAAATAAATTTGTCCTAATGTAGAAAAACTGAAAGAATCAGTAAAATACAAAGAAAAAAACACATAATTTCACTACCTAGAGATAACCATTATTAACTAGACTTTTATCCATGGTGTGTGTATTTAAAGAGATCATATAGACTATGTTATTTTGCAGCCATTTTATAGTCAGAGTTGACTATCTATCACACCTAGTCTACTTCTGCATTTCTTATTTCCGTGACTGTCATGATCATTCATCCTAGAATCGTTTTTCACACTTACCTCTTTCATCAGTTCTACATTGTCAGTTACCGAGTGCTGTTTTACCATTTTTTATTGTATGTTGAAATTTGCCTCCTCTCGATTTCCATGGTTACTGTCTTAGTTGAGGATATCATTGTTTCTTTGGATTACTATTCTAGGGTCATAGATAATTTCTGTCTTGTATTTTCCGATACATATTTCATATTGCTCTCCTAAAGCTCCCATCTGATTCTTTCATGCTCTTCAACTTCAAATCCTTCAGTGGATCTTCTTTGCCTCCAGGATTAAATCTAAGCTCTTCAGAAGAACATACGTGACCATTCGTGATCTGGTTTCTTCTTGCCTCTACAGCCTTATGTCTTGGTATTTCTTCTTTCCTTTAGCATATGAAATTACTTGCTTTTTCTTTAATGGGCAGTGAGCCTTTACATATGCTGCTTCCATTGCCTGGAGTATTTTCTCTGTGCCTTCCATCCACTCTCCTCTTTGTTTGCTTAACTCTATTACTTATCCTTCTTGATTCACCTGAGAAGACATCTCTCAGAAAGTTTTCCTAATTTAGGTATCCCTCCCATGTGTTCCCATTAGCATAGCCCTTATCATTGTTTTCTACTTGTCTGTTTCTGCCACTAGACAGTGGTGTTCCAGTCAGGGATCTTGTCTTTTCAGCTTTGTGTCTGTCACACTGATAGTGGTACCTTACATAAAACTGACAACAAATGCTCACTCAAGAAATAAAGTTAAAAGTGAAGATTTAGAAATACCTATAATGATACTTTTCATGTTGCATAGCTGAATGCAAGGTGAATGACAGTGAACTGTTAGAGGAGATGAAAGAAAAGCCTTAAGAAACTGAATTAAGTCAGAAAAGCAAACATTAGGGGCTGTCCCGGTGGCGCAGAAGTTAAGTGCGCACGTTCCACTTCAGCGGCTCGGGGTTCACTGGTTCAGATCCCAGGTACAGGCATGGCACCGCTTGGCACGCCATGCTGTGGTAGGTGTCCCACATATAAAGTAGAGGAAGATGGGCATAGATGTTAGCTCAGGGCCAGTCTTCCTCAGCAAAAAGAGGAGGATTGGCAGCAGTTAGCTCAGGGCTAATCTTCCTCAAAAAGAATAAATAAATAAAAAAAGAAAAGTAAACATTAGTTAGCTGTGTGTGCCTTCAGATATATAAATAGCTCTGCCTCAACACTAGTGTGAAATGTGCTTTGAATTGCTTCTGTACTCTCAATTTTCTCATGGCCATGACATGCATTTTTTTTTTTACCTGATCTAATAGAAAAGACATACTTTCTATAAATTCTTATGAATTTCAGGAGCTAATATGTTAACAGCTTTTTTCAGTGAATGAATGGTATAAAACTTAGTTTCCAAATACTTTTAAGTCCATTATAGACATATATTTTTATCCTAGAAAAAGTTGAAAAATTAGACTTTTAATGACCTCTCTGGATAGAACTGGGAAGTTATTTGCATGAGGCATGGTCCTGGACTGGTTATTGGTTTCTTTGGTCACGTCCCATCACTGTGAGAATGACAAGGTATGGGATGGATTTGGGGAATGGAGTAAAGTGAGAAGATGACATTGAGATATGAACAGGCAAAGTTGTAAAATTAAGTATTGATGGAGGAAACTAACTTATGATTTCGTAATTTCTCACTCTAGTTTTGTGTTTGTATTTTTAATCAGCTGATAAATTTTAATTTACATCATGTGATGTCCAAATCTTATTTATCTTCTCTCATATACACAGATATTTATACATATAGATTTTGTGATAAAAAAAGAGCAGATAGAGAAGGGATGTAGATACAACAGACTTATCAGGTTTGCTTCAGAATTGTTTGTGTTGTCATGTATTACTGTGATTAGCAAAAATAGACTCAATTTAATTTTGTGTATGACTTTTTTTCTCAAGTTATTTTGTTATAATAAATATTCCTGAGAGGAGTAACTGTATAAGATGAATTCTGTTCTTCTGGAAGAAAGTTTGGGTGAATGAAAAACTAAATACTTTTTCTTTTCTTTTTCCGTTTCTAAAGAGCCAAACTAACATCAGATGCAGAGAAGGAATCAGTAATGATGTTTGGGCGAAACCTTCGTCAGCTCCTCTTAACAAGCCCCGTTCCAGGGCGCACCTTGATGGGAGTGGATCCTGGTTACAAGCATGGTTGCAAGTTAGCTATAATTTCTCCTACCAGTGAGCATCTTTTAGCTTTTCATATAAAAGTTGTTTGGTTGGTTTATAAGTTTCACTTCATATATTTTGTGAAGACTTGAAATAATGTTAATTTTCAAGGCTTAGGAAATGGTTTTATCGTATACAGGGACATGAGAACCAGAGAATCATATTTCGTATGTTATTTGTTGACCTGAACCCTGAACATTTTACCATCACAGTGGAGACACTGAGGATTAAGCAGCCTCAGAGTTTAATAACCCTGCTCATCCTCCATCAGCTTCAGTTTATTGTGATGCATTTATAAATGATACGTTTTAATTCTGAATATCTTTTAAATACCACAAGACATTTTTGTTTTGTCTAGTCAATATTTTTTTCCCAATTTGCTCATATATTTACCCTTTCTATTGCACTTAATTTCTTTCTGCATTTCTGTGTTTCCATTTGAAATCATTTTCTTTCTGCCTGAAATTCTAGGCTATTTCTTTTGTTGTTGTTATTGAGAAAGATTGGCCGTGAGCTAACGTCTGTTGCCAATATTCCTCTTTTTGCTTGAGGAAGATTGTTGCTGAGGTAACAACTGTGCCCAGTCTTCGTCTATTTTGTATGTAGGACACCACCTCAGCATGGCTTGATGAGTGGTGTGTAGGTCTGCACCTGGGATCCAAATCTGTGAACCCCAGGCCACCAAAGCAAGGTGCATGAACATAACCACTATGCCACTGGGCCGGCCCCTAGGCTATTGCTATTAGTGTGGGTCAGCTGGTGACAGATCATCTCCGTTTTTGTCTAAAAAAGCTTCTGATTTAGTTGTGAAGAATATTTTTGCTGGGTGTAAAATTCAAGATTGGCAGTTACTTTCAGTACTTTAAAGATGTCCTTCTATTTTTTTTTTTTTTTTTTTGGCTACTACAGTTTCTGTTGAGTAGTCAGTCAGCCACAGATCTTTTATTACCCCTTTGAAGGTAATAATGGCTTTTTTCCAATGGTTGCTAAGATTTTCTCCTTGTGGTTTTTGAAAGTTTTCTTATGATGTGTTTAGCTTTATATGTGTATGTGTGTGTGTGTGTATATACATATATATTTTTTTGTGTGTGTGTGCTGCTTGGGGTTTATAGAGGTTTTCGCATCTCTTTCTGGAATTCCAAGTACATATATATTAGACATTTCATTTTCTATTGATTGTCTTTCAGTTAATTAATCCTCTATTCTATGTCTAATCTGCTATTAAATCCATCCACTGAGTTCTTTATTTAAGTTACCATGTTTTTAAGTTTTAGAATTTTCATTTAATACTTATGAAAAATAGATTATAGTTCTATGGTGAAGTTCTTCACTTTTTAGTTTTTTTATCTTTTAAATTTTTCTTATTTTCTATTTCTCCTAAGGCATTTACTAAATTTATTTATTTTTATGTTTGTTTTGATTTAGATTTTCATTTCTGATATAACTTTTTCTTCATATCTGATTCATTACTGGGTTCTCTCATTTCTGAGGTTTTCTAATTCTGATTCATGTTATTCCCATTTTCTTTATTTTTTTTTTTAACTTGTCCTTATATATTAGGTTACAGTTTTTCTCTGTTTTGTGGACACATCTTTCTGTAAGGACATTATACTAGTCCTCTTTATTTCCTTTTTTAAAAAATAATCATTCTATATGGAGTTTAACTATCATTCTTTTCTGTTGCTTTGTTTTATGTAAAATCATAAAATCATTGAGTTTTCCTCAACTTTTATGATGGAAGACTGGGTCAGAAAGGATTTTTTAGATGTATATCTCTAGAAATATCGCTTGTATTTTTTCCAAATTATTGAAAAAAAAAAACCCGCTCTATATCTATGTGGATAGAGAGATAGTCTTATACTTTCTGGAATCTGCTTCCCTATTCCTTTCCCCTTTTTATCTGGACTTTCTTTTTGCTTTGCTCATATTGTCCTTACCTTGCTCAACGTGAATCCCAACAGTTTCTCTTGAGTGTGGGGTTTTGTCTTGAAAAGGATATTCTACTTGTCAGTTTCAAGAGTTCATAGAGATCAGAGTTTTCTGATCGTTTTTGAACTTACTGGGCAACCTTTGTATTGACCTATAAATTAGAGTAGGCCAAGATCATCCCAGTTTCAGCTCCTCTTCTCAAATAAACCTGTTGTGATTTCCAGGGAAGTACCTTTTGACATTTTGGGGCGCCTTCCATTTTCAGTTCCATGAGATGCTCCATTGCTTCTCTCTGCTTCTTCCTACAGAACACTAATGCATGTAGGTCTTGGTAGTTGTCAGTGCATTGTCCAACCTGCTCATCCTTTGGGTTTTGTGGTGGTATTTTGTTGCAGATACAGTCTTGAGTTTTTGATTTTGCTGTCCTAGTTGCTCTATCTCTTTTTATGCTATGCATTTTTATAATAAATGGGAAGAATATTTTATCTGGTTTCTTCCTGCCTTTATTGAGCTATCATATGGCTTTTATCTTTTACTGTGTTTATATTGCTTATAGGATGATTCTTTTAGAAATGTTATGTACGTACACACACACGCACACATATTTATGTTTCTATTTTCAGTCTGTTTTGGTAAGCAAGACTGTTCCAAGAACTTATCCATTTCGTCACTTCACCTGAATGAACATGGAGTTGTTTGTAGTAGTCTCTCTTATCTTTTTAAGCTGTGCTGAATCTTTAGTTATATCCCCTTTTCATTTCTAATATAATTTGTGTTTTCTTGCCTTTCTTTTTCTTGATTGGTATTGCTAAAAGTACGTGTTTTTCTTAGTAAATGATTTTTAACCTTAAACTTCATTATCTTCTCTGTTATGTGTTTTTTTCTGTATTTCATTAATTTCTGCTTTTAACTTTATCATTTCCTTCCTTCCTCTATCTTTGAGGTTATTTTTTGTTCTTTTCCTAGCTTCCTAAGTTTGGTCACTTAGCTCATTATTTCTGTTCTTTAGGTAGTTATCCTCAAATTTTTAAATGTGTTTTTAGGAGAAATATAATACAGAAAAGCTCACAATACATAAATATGCAGCTGAAAGAATCACCCAAGGTAAAGGAATTCGTGTATCTACAATTCAAAAGAAGAAATAGAATAGTAGTATGACATTGTCTGATATATAGTACATATTCAGTAAATATTGGCTTTTACTATTTTTGATGTTAGATGTTATTAAAAACCTATGATTCTCTTTTAGGTATCATAGCATATTTTCTAGTTGATAATGGTTTTATGTAGCAATATAGAGTCCTTGTAACTTTGGAAGTAACAAAATTTCAGAGTGCTTAGGGGGGAACCTAATTTAATGAATGTGAATATTCAGACTGCGTTTTCAAAGTTCCCTTTCCTGTTGCAGCTTGCTTAATCAAATCATTGGTCTGTTATGTTTTGTAATTTCTTACAAAATGGATTCTCTTTTCACTTTTTTTCCTAAGGTCAGATACTTCATACTGATGTGGTTTATTTGCATTGTGGACAAGGCTTTCGAGAGGCAGAGAAAATAAAGAGGCTTTTGCTGAATTTCAAGTATGAAAATAAGTAACCTTTTGAGTACTTGAGTGGCTCAGCCCATCAGAGCTATTTTTGAAGCCCCTAATTTGGAGGGAGGGATTAAGGGAAGTGCCTTGGTGAGAGAGAAGTAACCCGTCAGACAATGCTGGGGCAAATTTCTGGAGAACTCTGCATTTGGAGGCTCCGGAGGAATGCTGCTGTCTTCCTCTGCCACCTTCGCTAAACAAAGGTAGTAAGAGAAGCAAAAGTGAGCATTTAATTCTTCTATTTGGGCTTCCTCTCTTTCCCTTCCTTCCTTCCTCCCTCCCTTCCTCCCTTCTTTCTATCCTTCCTTCCTTTTTTCTTTCTTTTTCATGGATCTGAGGGATGGATATGGTAATAGTTAGACGTTTCAGAAATTATTTGACAACATATCACATAATTCAGTCATAATGTCTTTATTGGTTTAGAATGCTCCAGAGTTAACTTACCCATGTCTCAATTTGGTTCCTTCTAGATAGGAAGAAAGCTGACTTTTCTTAAGGTTGTGTGACAGTAAAATGTTTTTCCACCATCTCCTATACGAAATGTAGGCACAATGTCTTATCCTACATAAGTCTGTGTCTCCCTTGGGAAACAGTGGAGAGGTGGCTCGGCTAGATGAGAGAATAAGAGCATCCTATAATAGCATTTGTGCATTCTGTACATGTTCTCCTGATTGATTTAGAAGCATGCCTTGAGCTCATTCAGTTTCTCATCCTGTTTCTCCCTTGAAGCTGCAGCACAGTGGTGATTGGAAATGGAACTGCCTGCCGGGAAACAGAAGCTTACTTTGCTGACCTGATAATGAAAAATTACTTTGCACCACTGGATGTTGTTTACTGGTAAGGATGTTAGGAATGTTTGTTTTCTTTGAGAGGCAAAGGAACTTCTAAAGTTCCTTCTGTGATGAATTCTCCCTTCTCTTTTTAAGATATGCATCTTATTTGCTCCCAAACCACCTCTTGTTATTCACAAGAGCTTTGTAGGGCAATGGAAAAATATCTGTCTTTTGGGGAAATTTGAGTTTCAGCATCCTGAAACCTCCCACAGAAGCAGCAAGTTAGGATGTATTTGGTTTCATGGGATTTTCCAGGCTGTACATTGTGAGGGCTCAAGTTAACTACTGACTAGTAAGTAGAATAGTGTACCAGGCTAGCAGCTATAGACTGTGAGTAACTTAGCCTTCTTCTCCCAAAGTTTTGATGCCTATGAATCATTGGCCTTCAGAACTGAGAGCCAAAGTAAGTATTACAAATTATAGCATTTCTGATGTTCCTTTCTTATTTGTCTCTTTATCACAAGCTTTCATTTTTATATAGGCATACAATTAACTTCTGAATAGCCGAAGATTAGCATGACCCATTTCTCTTGTCATGCTTCTAGATATTTAGTTGTTCTGCTTTCATTTACCATTGTTTCCTCACATTCCCTTTGGACCTCAAATAGCCATGCTTACCTTTTCCAAATTACAGTAGAATGTTAAGTCCTAAAAGCTTTAATTCTAAGAGAGAAGATAGTTATAATGGCTGATATCTAGGGGAGAGCACACAACAGCCATCAGTCCTTTTTGAGAAATCTAGTAACTAAGTATAGTAAACTGATGAGTATGTGACTGACAGGATCAACAAAACAAAACAAAACATAACACAAAACCCAACACAGGAAGAATTCTAGGGTCCATTAGGCCAAAAGAGAGGGGCCTTGTATTTAGTGTAGTAGTGCGTGTGCCAAGAGTAAATCAATATAGCAGGAAAACAAACTCAGGGTAACCAGAGGGGCTTAGAAGGTCAGGGACAAATTGTAGGTGTCGTGGGATCATGGTTCAGGAAAGAACCAGAGTGGAAAGTCCACCTCAGCTTTTTTCCCTCTCCCTCTTCTTGTTCAGGTTGGTCTGGGGACTAGTACGGATGTTCCCTGTTCCAGGAACTGCACACACGCACCCAGTCCTTTTGAGAACCTAATACAAGGATCTGACAGCTGATTTAGTTTATTTCAGGCACCTTCTTTGATTTCTTTTTAACTTGTTCACATTAACTTGATATAAATATCTTGGGTACATTTATAGTGATTATAAATAGAACTTTCAAATCATTAAAAATATTAAATAGTGAAGGCTTCTTGAATTTCATCTGAATTTGTTTGTCCCTTTATTGAACTTTCAGCAGTGTGTTGTAGTAGAAAGAAAATGAGCTTTGGAGGCAGACAAGTCTGGGATCATCTTTTGTTGTCACCGTTTACTGGTTATGCAAGTTTGAAAGAGTAACTCTGCCTCTCTGAGCTTCACTTTCCTTCATCATTAAAATGGGGAATGCTTTTGCCTTCAATAACATTTTGAAGTTTTCTTCATCATTATATATTAAAACTTTGTTTTGTGTTTATCTCTTTTTGTGTTTCTGTTAAGAATTGCTTTACCCAATTACTTTATATCTGTATGAAGGAATACTCTTTTCTATGTTAGTTTTGTTTCCAAGGTGGCATAGTACAGAATTCTTTCATTGTTTCATTTCATTAGTTTTTCACTTGATTCTCTTGGATTTCTCAGTATATGGTCATATCATCTGCAAAAGATGAATTATCAATTTCTTTTCAAGTGTTAGACCTTTTGAAGGTATAAAATAAGAATCTCTTGTTTAGTGGTGTCATGCATTATCTTTGAAAAGCTATTAAAGAATAATGATGATAGTGGATCTTTTTCTTCTCTTCCTTTACTTTTATTAGAATAGTTCTAATGTCTCCCTTAAGTTTGATGCTGGCTTTTATATATTTTAAAAGATCATTTTAAAGGAATAGCCTTATTTATGAGTGTTTTAAATACTGATCCCTATTTTATTGTTTTAAAAATAAAGAATGAATGATAACATTTATGCTTTTTCAAAATTTTGCTATAATCATATGGTCTTTTTTTTCCTCTTGATCTGTCAATATACTGAATTGTAGCAGTAAATTTCCTATAATGGAACCATCTTTACAGTTCTGATTTGAACATAGTATATTACTCTTCTTAATGTACTGTTGGAATCTACTTTCTAATACTTTATTTTGTACTTTTGAAGTCCTTAATGGGGCACATACCTAATCAGAACTTAGAGTAAGTGCTTTAGGAAAATCAGCTGTTCGATTTCATTTTGTTATCATTTTGCTGATTCAGTGTGCCTGTATGAGCGCACCGTATTTTGTCATCTAATGCTTTGAAGTTACATTGCAAACTACATTTAAGTTAAAATTTCTGTGCTTTCTCTGGCAGTCATTTTTAGCACCTCCCATACAGATAATCTGATACTCATTTCTGTAATCCTGTCAGCCACTCATCCAGAAAAACATCTTGACACATCCACCAGCATCTTCCCTCTTATCTATTCCCTCCAACACTTTCTGCCTTGGCATACCTGCCATAGGTTAGCATATACTGTTAACTTATCTCCTGACTTGTAAACCCCATGCACCCTGATCCATCGATCCAGCTTCCCTCTTATCTATTTTATTCCATACCTTTAATATACCTTACAAACTCTGATACGTACATATATTACGGGGGAGGTTATCCAAAGCTTCAAATCCTAATTACCAAAGGAGAAAAAAAACAACTGGAATTAAGTTGTAGAATGTAACTATGCTAAGGCTTGGTTAGTCATACATGTTTAAAGTTGGAAGTGTTTGTGAAAAGAAATTTTACAATATTTTATGTTGCTTTTTTAAGGTGTATGCTAGAATGATTTGCCATTTTCAATTCTCTGCCACGTAGTAGGCACTCATTTTATTTTTGGAATATCTGAATATTTGTTTCCATTACTGTTAAATTGTCACATGATTATTTTCTGCTTTTTTTACCCCTGTTTTTTCTTTTGTAAAAAGTAGGGTTTTCTTTTGTGTAGCAATGGTAAAATTTATTGAAATGTAGAACTGGCAGGCTCCTTAGGAGACAGTTGTGTTTATGTGCAATGTATCTGGTTTCTCCTGCATTGAAACCTTCTTAAATCAGGAGACCATGTTTTATTTATCTCTCCCTCCTTCACATTAAGCATATTTCTTTACTTATAGGTCTGTATCAATAAATATTTACTAATTTGAATTGTTAAATATTAAAGGTTAAACCATTTTTAATCATATAAGTCTTTTCAAGACTATTGACCAGGATTGCTGTGTGCAACAATTATGGAAAATTTCCCCTCTGCTTAGGGCTTTGGTAAATCTATGACTTACTGTTTTCTCTGTTTTTTCATCAATACAGAAATTTGTACTTGGCAGATTATAGACTTATATTTTGCCAAAGATAAATGATGATCTCTGAAATAAAAATATTTCATGGTTAGTGTTATATATTTATTTAGTGTACTACGAAAGAATTAAAAGTAATCTTTAATATTTGCTGTCATATTTCAAACTGATTGGCAAGATTTATGCTGATGGTGGGAACATTGTTAGAAATCACAGCATTATGTGCATTCTGGAGAATCACAGATACGTGAGATCACTTAAAATCTGGGAGCAGAAAATGGAAAAGAAAATTTTGTGCTTTCAGTTCAGACCCTGTGCTTAATGTTTCTACTCTGAAAGCTGCAGTAAACAAGTGACATTGAGGAGGCAAATATAGAAAACAAAAGAAAAGAAATTAATTTTGTTCATAATGACTTCTTTCATTAGGATAGTAAAAGAGTTAGAAAATAGAATGAACTGAGAAGATGTGGTGTGTGATGAAAGAATGAGAAAAGGGGTGGCAAGCTGCACTGTAGGGTTGTGTTGTATTTTTTGAGGTTAGATGTTTACCGACGGGCTTGGTCGTTGAAGGACAGGCAGATGGCCAGATCCTCTTAGGAAAATAACGTTGGTGCTGGACATCTGTGAAATCCACATTGGACCTCTTTCTTCTTTTTTCATCCCGTAGGGTACCAACCATTTAATAGAAGGAAAATGTAGTTTAAGGAATCATGACTTTGTGGTTGAGATAAGTTGATGTTCCTTTCAGAGTCTAACGTAATTGCAGGGAATAGCTTGAACCTCAAAAGGTTAATTCATTTGTGAAAAAATGACTAATGGTGAAGCTAATGGGAATAGTTTACATTAAAATTAAAAAACATTGTTTCTTTAAAGATGTTAATAATATTTATTATTGAAGATTGATTGGAAAATACAGGTAAGTGACAGGATTTTCCATTATCTAAATTATTTATATTTAAGAGCATATTTCTAGATTTTTCTTATGTGTATATGTGAGAGAAACTCACACTATGTGTGTTTTATAACCTTTCCCTCACTTTGGTCCTTCCTTGTTTGACAGGTGGCTTTTTGTAATCATCACCATTATCAACAAAACGAAAGTGCATGTCCTTGTGCTTAGATCTTTGCACATACCTTTCTTTCTTTACAATACATTACAAGAAGTGGAGTACAGGTTTAATGAGGCGCCTTACTGCTCCTAATTGAAAAATGCTACCACAACTAGAAGGACATGCAACTAAGATATACAACTGTGTACAGGGGGGTTGGGGAAGATAAAGCGGAGGAAAAAAAAAAAAGAAAAATGCTGGAATACCTAGCCCAGTCTATTACTGAGATTATTTCCACACTCCATTTCTCCCTCTTCTCAGTATGTTGGCTAATTACGAAATGTTATAATGTTTTCATCTAAAAACATTTATATCACTCGTACATATAAAAGTCCAAATAAAAAAGGAAGAAAATAAAGCATTTTTTATTACAAAATATATCAAAATGTACCAAAGAATACATAACCTATGTACAATTTAAAGAAGAGTAAAATGAATGACTTTTTCCCAAGCTCTTAGGCCTCTCATGTTCTTTTTTCTTGGATTGCCTCCACTCCATGTAACCGCTGTCTTCAACT